ACACACAAAACGAAGAATTAAAACTCAAAAGCATTAATCTTCACATGTTTACAAACTCCAAAGCTCTTTGTTACATAAAGATTTAAAAAACAAAAACAAAAAGCAAAAAAAAGTTGGATCAGAGGGTCTCATCAGAGAGTTAAAATCCATTTTCTGTTAGCCAATTTTCAGGTCAGGGTAGTTATCTGCTGTTGGAATCCTGATGATGCTATAGCAGCAGTTGCAAACAGTTGCTGAGGATTGATGAACGGCCTTTGTCTGATTGTTTGCTCATTGACAGGGAGAGGTGATTTGCCCCAGTGGTGCCTCCAATTTGACCTCCATTGTTTGTGCTGCTGCGGCTAGCGATACTGAACCTACAACCACACGATTAAAACAATTTGATTAGCCGGTCTAATTTATCAATAACCCGTTATACCCAACACATGAAAGGGTTTCAATAACAGCTTGATAGGTTTTGATGAGGCGTTGAAACAGGTGAAGGCATTTGAGTTTTCCACTTCTCATTGATGGAATTGCCCAGGCCTTAGTGAACTCCGGAGATTGAATGTGCGTTTGGCTCAGAAGTTGCACTTGTCTCAGTCTCATTGTTGTGCAGATTTCTCCATAAAGCAAAGCATGGAAGAGCCTTTAGAAGAAATTATAACAAATGTGTTACGTACAAGTTCTAAACGTACCTTTATTTTATCTCTTTTCATGCTGCAACCTTATATAGTACCTATTACGTCCCAACAAAACATTCTTATTCAATTAATAGACTTCGCCTCTGAGTACCAGAACAACAATTATACCTGCCTTAAAAATCTATATATACTTCACTTCTCTCCAATCTTATACAGACAAGGATCTGATAGGAAATCATATATTGGTATCACAATCAATAGTGCATTGAGCCATTAAATATTAAAAAGCAGAAGTACTGAATAATAAATGTTAAAACAAATAAAGCTCCATAAAACAAACAAACAAACAAACAAACAAACAACAAAAAAATAAAAATTTAAAAAAGAAAGTTGTAAACAAGGTGATATCGCTTTACCTGGTACTCCATCATACCGGTTTTTCTACACACTCAAAGGCCTAATTTCAAGCTAAGAATTATCAAAGCCGCCCATTATAGTATCTGAGTACGAATTAGTATCTATTACCAGATCCCAACAAATTAAGCTGAAATTTAACAACTAAATACAAAAATCGCAGTTCGGATTTCAGTAAACAAAACCACAAAACAAGTGCAAAAGAGCAAAGAGACTTCAAGGACGCAAAAAACAAAACCGATTTTAAGCGATTAAAGCTGTTGAAAAGTGAAAAAAATAGAAACTAACCTTTCTTGCTGAGAGACGTTCGTCAGAATTAAAGCCTTGAAGTTAAAGCCGCTAGAATTACCAAACTTGGAATTGGGAATTAGCCGAAAGTAATTTCACAGCTCAAATAGAATTAACAACTATCATAAAACCATAAAAATGTTAATTTCATTACATTACAGTTAAACTCAATTAACTTATTGTAGAACTCTTCAAAACTATAATTTTGAAAACACTTATTTCATACTTGAAAGTGTGCTTTTGGCAAAATACGCTTTCCTTAATTTCCTTAAACTTATTTTTGTTTTTTTATTTTATGTTTTATTTCCAATGTTGGTTTCGTAGCAAATACTCTTTCTTCGACTCATTCAAAACAAATTTATCTACTAACCGCCAAGGACAGATTTTTCATATCCTTGTACTTTGGCTCTTATTTCATGGGCAGTCTCCTGAAAACAAAACCTAAAGTAATTAAGCACCACAGTCAACATAAACACAGTACCCAATGCAGAAAAAACATCAGCAACAGCGTGCCAAATACCGGTCACCATCATTCTTTCTCTCCCTCATCCAACAGCGACATTCACTCTGTCAGATATCAAGAAGAAGCCAATTGTGTAATGTCACAAGCAAAGATAACATGAAATTTCAGTAATAATGTTCAAATAAAATAAAACCACTTTCCTCTTTGTCATTTGACGCACTACTATTAGACTTGAATCAACATCAAGCCAATCCTCAAGAGCATAGAAATCTACTTATTGGTTAAACAACAGAAAAGGAGACACAAATTCATACCTAAGAAGGAAAACCCAACACACTCAGTGCAATAGTAACTCGTGCCATTTCTTCAGATTTTTCTGATTTTTAAAAACATACCTGAGAAGGAAAACAAACAGATCAAAAAAATGACCATATAAAATTAAAAGAGAAACAAGATATAGAATTTAAAAGCATCAGGAAAAAAGAAATTCAGAAATTGGACTAGAAATGCCTCCTTTCCATTCATCAGTTAAAAATTCTTATTGAATGAATCTGTTGCAGACCAACCTCAGAACAAACAATGCAGCAAAATAGGTAAAATTGGTGGTTCTTCCTAAAAGAGAGTCGCTAGTACAACCAAATTTAACAATGATATTGTCAAAAAGATAGACCAAATAGTTTAAGTTAAAAGATATTCATTAACTCAACCATGAAGAAAATAGACAAATAAATTAATGAAGCTAATTTCTTATTCTGAACTTGACATAGTTACCAACAATTAACATGCATATTCATACTCAATGGCGATCAGTGGTCCTTGCTTTTAAAACACACACATAAATTTAGCTTAATTCTATTTCTGAACTTGATTTTCTTCTTCACTTTCTAAAGCTATAATCCAAATATTTCCCACTTAAAAGCAACTGTAGGCTGTGGTAAATGAAGATAAAGATCGAGATTCATAAACGCGTAAAGATTTTATACAAAACTATTTAACTGGCCTAATATGAAGAAATTGAAAACAGCTAAATTATGGAGTAGAGGTGGAGAATTATAATTGTCTACCAATGTTGCAGTACCTAAATTTTTTTATTGATTATGTATACACAATTATGATACATGGCTTTAATGTAACATTTATACACATTCATACTCAATGCTAAGAAAGGTTTTCTGCGTAACTGAGATTGCCTTTTCCACTTCCACTTAATGATACTACACTTAATTGATTCGAAACCCAGGAAAACCACCTACAAATCCAGACACCATTGCAGTTTCCACACAACATATCTTTTTCCCCCTGCAAGACAAGTAGTTTTGTTTGCCAGAATATGGTTGACCACAGACAAGGAAGGCAAGATAAAGTGTTTCTTCACTGTTTTACAATAATCTTCATCTTAAACGTAGATTAATAAAACATATGATTTTGGTTTAGTGACTTGGTTTGATAATGGCATATTAGATACTAATTTTGACAGAAATTAAGACTTATACAGTGGGTACCCTCAAAGCCAACATGATTCACCAGCTTTAAATTGTAACACAATTAAATTTAGTAGCCATTAATAGCAAATACCATAAACACAGTTGGAAAATAATATTGACAATATAAGGGGGGGGGATTTTTTTTTTTTTCAAAAAAGGGGAATTTTTAATAAACTTATGAACATTCTTAAAAGCCCAATATCTGAGATGTAGGTTTGAGACAATTTCGTAAAACAGTCCTGTTTTTAACTAATTAAAAAAGAGAAATTTATTACATGTCTACTTTGTGTGTGTGAAGAGATGGAGCACGATTGGCTGTTTGGAAAACCACCTCCGATTTCTTCTCAAAACTTGGTTCCACGCACCTGATCAGCCTGCATGTTGAGGCCTTGCCTAAAGATACATACATACCCAGCGCAGCAACCACAGATTCACAGCTAGAGGCAGAGCCATCACTGCAGAAGAAGTCAATCCAATTGGCCGTATGAATGCAAACACTATCTCTATAATCGTGAATCTTTTTTATTTTAAATAGGTAAATATGTAATTATTGAGCATATAATTTAAAAGTATACACTCCAAAGTTTATGGGAAAATTGGACACTAAAAACATTACTCCATGCATTGAAAATTGATGCATTCCCCGGGTTCCCAACATGAACATCCAAGGCTTACATAAACTACATGACCAATCAAAAAAGGATAAAGAGACTTCAAAAATGACATCACAAGGTACAAATTCATCCACAACAAAACAAAGTTATCAGAGGGATGTGATATCTCATTTTCTTTAGCAAGCAGCTTTTTTGGAAGCTTCTCCAAAAGGTGTGCGTTTTGAGATGGAAGAGCCTTGGCAGCACGCTCTTGCAATGTACCCCCGCATTTCAAACCCACGTTGATTGCAGCTCCGATTTTTAACCTTTCCATACCAAGAACCTAAAAAGATCATACCAGAAAAATTCGGAAATGTTAGTTGCTGTCAACGCTGCAAAAGTAGACGGCCTGTGTCAGCTTTGATAATGGACTACAATAAGACATCATAAATATTAAAACTGGCAAAAAAAAAAAAAAAAAAAAAATGATATTTACAAGTGCAATTGTGAAAATTTTTGCAAATTATTAACTTTATGTGTTTCTTCCCTTCTCTATAGGACATTATTTGAAATCAGAGAGGACACTGTTATTCAATAAAACACGGTTCAAGAACAGACACAGTTTCAACTTAACAGGCTATTATCTCTTTTTTTGCCAGAATGCATTGCAGTTGACAACTTCCATGGAAGAGACATCAGTCCCTGATTGTTTTAAGAAAAAATTTCCCAGTTTAATCCAAACAAGGCCAGTCAAAACCAATTTACTTTCACACTATATAAACAGAAAGAAAAAGTTGGTCATAATACCTCCAACTCTGCTGCTGAATTAAATTCATCGAAGTTCAGTTTGGCTTACACCGTATCTGAAACATCAGTGCTCACACCACAGTTTCTTCATGAACTACAGGTTTTTTGGATTCGGAATCAATGTTTGACTTCTGCATCATTTGTTCCACATTCAAAGATCTTTCGCCCTGTTCCAGAGCTAGAAAACACTTGGGTGCTGACCCCTCTGTTCCCTCCAGATTACCAGACTCAATTTCCCCAGATTTTGCTTCTCATTCTCAAAGGCTTTCTTGCCCCCTGGAGAAAGAATTGCTCCATTCTGTACTATCCTTCTTCAAGAATCTCCATTGCTGGTTCCCAGTATCACTGTTTCACAACCAAACCAGACCTCCATCAGAACTTTGCTATCTGTTTCCCAATTAACACCAACCACAAATACAAACTTTTAGTTAAGAAATTACACTGCATACACACATATATTATACGCTGAAATTGACCAAAAACATGAAAATGAAATGAAATTCAGAACACTGCTTTTTTAACCAAAATCAGCCCAAGCTTCACATCATCATCTTGAATGTCATCATTTTCATCCTCACAAGGGATCGAGCACACTCTTGATAATCTGGAAGTAGCAACTAACTTTGCAGGAACATGGTTAAACTATGAAAGAATTAGCTAGAGATAATGGACCTTGAATTTCAGGAATTTTCAAGGAAAACATAAGTTGATGTCCTTCTATCACAGTTTAAATGGATGAAAACTTCAAGCACAATTTATTGTTCAAAATGAAAACTCTTAAATTTGCAATCTGAAAGCTAGTGTACCACTTCTTATCAAAGGAAATTATTACATTATGGAGATGTGGGCCAATTGCTCCCCTAAAAAAAAAAATTTGTGTGTCAAAAATTGAAGCAATCTACTTCAGTTGTTGGCTGGTCCATCGACATATCCTAGTACCCCTAGAAGTATACCCACCGAATGAGTCAATCTGCATTTTGTTGGATGGGTTCTCAATGGAAGAACCTGCAATGCAATAATAAATAAAGTAAACAGTAAACAGTCAACAGAAGGATCGGTAATTAGTTTATGGATGAACAAAACCACCTGTTAATTTTCACTAGATCTTACCAAAATGAAATCCATGAAAATTAGTTAACCAAATCTCCACCTTGCTTCAACAAAAGTAAACTAGAAAGGAAGTACTCGATATTTCACAATTGAAGAGTTCAAATAACATGAAAACAACTACGCACTGGACTTTAATGAGATAGAAAGATCCACGAGAAAAGTCCATCACATAAAAGAAGGAAAAACCAAATATAGAAATAAAACCAGAATGGGTATGGAGGCTCACACAAAGACTGTTAACATACATGCCCATGGACAACCTTGGATAATAAAACACGTGCCTTTCAAATGCATAACAAGGCTACTCGTATAGTAGAAAACTGTTAAGATAGTGAAACTGTAATATTTTAAGTTTTTCGAGGCTCCTCTATGGCAGTCAAGTTTTGCCTGCATCCCCTATATATCACATGGAGACAATCAAGTTTTGCTTATATAAGGGGCAATTCTGAGTCTGGGATTAGAGCCCCAGGGCATATTAACTTCAACTTTACTCCCTTTCCTCTCAGTATGTGAATAATCGTTTGTGCAAATGGCACCATGCCTAGGGCTTCCTTTACATATATTGTTTTTTGGTACAATCCTTTACATTATGTTGATCATGCATTCATATTGAATTCATAGTTTCTACACTTATTCCTGTTAGATCGTTTAAACATAAACAAATCCATAAATGAATGTGAATTAAAAAAGTAAGAAAAAAAAGGGACCAAGACACAGTAAATTTGTTTGAACAATCATAAATGAATGTGAATTAAAAAACAAAAAGAAAAGGGGGAAAAAAAAAAGACGAAGAGATAGTAAATCTCTCGGGTTTTGACTTTCGAGTTCTGTCAAAGAGGGACAACTGTAGACACCCCATTTTTGACTGACCTTAAGACTCAGACGTCACCGATTGAGCGCTTAGTGATGTTACATATTGTGCTCGTTCGGAAGTCGCGGAGTCTCGGCTGCGAGCCTTGCCTCCGGAAGGGGAAGACAGAGGCAACAAACGTCATGTCTTTTTCGGATAAAGACTTAGAACGGATATATTGCCCTCACAATGATGCCCTGGTCGTCACTCTCCGAGTCAAGGATTTTGACGTCAAGCGGATTCTGATTGACCAGGGTAGTTCATGTGAAATCATGTACTACGAAACATTCAAACAATTAAAACTGCAAGACAAAGACTTAGCACCTGCCGTATCTCCCCTAATTGGATTCAACTCCATGCCAGAATGGCTTGTCGGCAAGATAATTCTTCCTGTCAGAGTAGGAAGCGTGACAAAACAAGTGGAGTTCTGGGTATTAAAGGTCCCTTCCACTTACAACATCATCTTGGGCAGAACATGGCTGCATGCCATGCGATCGGTGGCGTCATCCTACCACCAAGTAATGCGATTCCCCAACGACACCGGTATAATTGAAGAAGTTTATGGAGATCAGATCATGTTGAAGCAATGCTTCGTCACAGTAAATGGCAGCCGCGCTGCCAAAGGATATGTTCATTCGGTGGAAGAACCAAAGAGTAATGAACTATTTGCAGATGTCGGTAAAGCGGCGGATCAGAAAGCAGTGGAGGACTTGGTAGAGGTAAAAATAGATGAAAAGAACCCGGATAAGTTCTTTTTGCTCGGATCATCGTTGTCCAGCACTGAGAGATTAGAGGTCCTAGAATTTTTAACCTCTAACATCGAAGTGTTCGCCTGGACACCCTACGACATGCCAGGCATAGATCCAAACTTCATCTGTCACCAACTTAATGTCCACCCATTCGCCAGGCCAGTCATTCAGCGCACTCGCAGATCGGCACTTCACCATGCCGAAATAGTGGCCGAAAAAGTAGGTAACCTACTGGAGGCAGGAGCAATTAGAGAAGTGCACTACCCAAGATGGATCTCCAACACAGTCGTAGTGCCAAAGAAAAATGGCAAATGGCGAGTCTGCGTCGACTACAAAACAGGCGTCAACGAAGGCGTGCCCAAAAGACAGCTCTTCCTCTACCTACAGGATAGATCAACTGGTGGACCTAACGGCGGAGGCACAAATGGACTTAGCTTTGTCTGGACGCATACAGGGCTATCACCAATCGCCATCACGCATGACCAGACCAGTGGGTCACATCTACAACTCCAAGAGGACTATACTGCCTGTACAAGGTCATGCCCTTGCCTAAAGAACGGCAGGGGCAACATTTTCAACGGATTAGTTACCAAGATGATTATGAACATTGTTATAAGCAGAACAAGGAAGCTTACATACGACGACCATGGTGGCAAGAGCAAAGTGAAGGAATCACGAGAGTCCGTTGAGGACGGGATACTATACTCTCCAATTAATTCAAAAAAAAAAAAAAAAAAAAGAAAAAAAAAAAGAAAAGAAAAGAAAAAAAGAAACAAAATATATTTAAAATTTTAATTTTTGTCAATTTAAAATTATGATTCCTGGTAATTTTTTTTTTAATTTAAAAGTATTTGTCTATTTATAAGTAAAATCAATAAAAAAAAATAATCTGTGTGTTAAAATATAAGTATACAAAATAATTACAAATATCATTTCTCATGTTAAAGATTAAAATACTTATGTTTTATCAATTTTACTCAATGTGAATAGATAAAAAATTAATAATAGATGAAAATAATAAAAAATGGGTAAGATTTTAAATCTATAAATAAAAATTTATTTGTTATTAATTTGTCAAAACCTATTTTTTTTTATAAAAAAATTATACATTAAAATTTCCCAACTTTATTGGCATTCGCCCAACTACCATTTCATGTTTAGGTCTTGGGGTTATTTTTTTTTTTAGGAAGGTAGTTATTTTGTTGGTTACTGTGATTTTTTACATTATTTTGGAATTTAGGTCGAAAGGTTAAATTTCTTAGTTTTTAAAAAAATAAAAATAAAAATAAAAATAAAAAATAAAAATAAAGAGGTGATATGACTTAAACAAAGATATTAAAAATAAAAAAAATGTTTTTAACCTTTTGCCAAAGAGGTAATTGGAAACTTTGAATAAAAAGCAGCTTTTGGACTTGTTTATTTTTTTTACACAAAACGTCGAGAAATTTATATTTCCACACACCTAAGTTAGCTTAGGGCCACAAAACTTAATGAAATATTAATTTATGACAATATATTATAGACATTCAACACATTCATTATATTTATACCAAAAAATTCTTTTGTTACATATCTTTTAACAATAAAAGTATCTCAATATAACACTTTTTGAGTTAAAAAAAAAAATTCTAATTTTACTATTGTTGTCACATTGCTCGGGTGAAGTAGTTTTAACTATTTTTTTAGGCCTAAAAAGGCCCAACTTTTGCTCGATAATTCTGGTTTCTGTGGTTACAAAATCTGTATGTTCATATAATTTTATTTGTTCTAGACTGTGTTTATGTTGTTATGTTATCCTTCCATCATTTTAGTTCGTTTAATAAGGATTGTAAAATACTCCGCTGGTGTCATATATTTATAAATACACATCAGTTCAACATTTTGCCATTGTCATCATGTGAATGCCGAACAAGAGTTCGTACTTTATTCATCTGTTGTAATTTTCTTGTTCTTCTTTTTAGGTAGAAGCATGTGGCAGTTTGTTAAAAACCGCTATTATTTCAAGTATTTGTTCAACATGGGCTGTGAATTTCTCTACTGGTCTATTGTTAGACTAGGATAAATTAATTAGAGGTTTCCATTCATTAAACTCATTTCCAGCTCAGAATTTTTGGATTTCATTATTATTTGTTCTGACATTATTGTATGTGTTGGGGTAATGACATGCACACTACAACACAAAATGGAAAAAAAAAAAAAACATAAAAAAAGTAAAAAGAAACTTATTTCATGTTAGGGTAAAAACCAATTTCCTTCAATAAGGGTCTTCAATGATTTTCAATGGAGGTCTTCAAGAAGAAAATTTCACTGACTTTGATCTTCACTTTTGTGTGGGTGGAACTACAAATGTAAATAGGTTTTAGAAAGTACGTGGAAAGAAGGGTAAGTGTGTGTGTACAATGGTTATGAGTGAAGGGTATAATTGTAATTGTTAAGTGTTGTGGATCGAGAAACTTAGTAATAATCAAATTAATAGTGGTGTATATTGAGAAAAAGATATACACTGAGTTAATTAAGTGTGTGAAATTGAAATATATTTCAAAAACACTTCACTTAAAAAAACCAACTTTTCTTTAGCAAAAAGGTCAAAAAGTTAAACTTTTTTACCAACTTCTTAAAAACCAGCAATGAGGCCCCGTTTGGCTAGAACTGTGGGAAATGACTTATAACCTTATAAACGTTAATAGTTTATAAGCTGTATAACTGTGACCATATAAAGTTAATTTTTGACTTATAAATTAAGGCTTCTTCTCCCCCACTCAAGAATCAAGTTTGATTTTTTACTTACAAAAAGCTATGAAGCTGTTATTGTTAACGCTGAACCAAAACATATCAAAATAGGCTTATATTTAACTAAAAGTTGAACATAAGGTAGAAATAAGCCTACCAACACAAGGCCATAGTTGTGATTTAAAAATAAAGATGGAGATATGACTCAATCATTGTTGACATCGTATGAATTTACATTTTTAAACTTTCGACATTGTCAAAAAGCCAATGGGTACCAATGTCGTCAATACCATTTACCTATCGGCTATTTACTGACTTATAAGGTACAGTTTATTAGAAGAAAAACGCGACAGCACAACTGTAATATGTATTACCATATATTACTCGGCTTTGGATGCTTTCATTCTTAAAAAAATATTAGCTGGAATTGTGATACCTTGTGCACTATGTTGATTTCATGGAGTTGTGATGGAATGGTTATTCCTTGGGCTTCACGTTACACGAATAGATCATTCCATTACACTTGGTGCATGATGATTCTATTTATAATCTATTTTTTCATTATTATTTTTTTAATGAACCAAATATGGGAATAGACATTTGACGCGGAATTGATTCATTCTATCCCATCTATTGTAGCGGGGAACTTTATACGGTATATCCGAGTTAGGTATTTTGTTCTTGGGCTTTTAGAACTAGTTTGATAACAATACAGCTATTTATTTGGTGGAGTCATGTTCTCTGGGTTAGAACTAGTTGATAAAACAGTACAGGCTTACTTTGTGAAGGGCAATGGTCACCTCTTTCCTCTTCACTCGCATGAATGATTGCTGCTCCAAATGTTCCACATTCTGCTTCAGCCTTATCAGTCTCAATGAGGTACCTTGTGTGTGTTGAGAAGCAAAGAAACACAAAATTACAGATGATTACTCTAATTTTTCACCGTCTTTCACTTGCACCGTTGCACTTTTTGTTCTGTATTTAGTCATGGGTTTTCTGGTTGTTCTGTTTGGCATGGATTAGCAAACTGGATTTGTTTTTCTTTTTCTTTTCTTGGCGGCCCTTTTTTCTAGCTTGCTTGCTGGTTTCATGTTTCTTTTCCTTACTAAGCTAAGCTTAATGTTCTCTGGATGGATGCCAATATATGTTTGGCGATGTTAATGGTAAAATTTTGATATTGATAATATTATTTTAATAAATATATTTAAATATTTGTAGTGATAAATCCGAGAAGATAGTACTAATTACCAGTATATACAATACCAACTAAAAAAATGATTTCTTATTCTGGTTACGAGATTGACAACTTCCATATGTAACAACCATTGAAGCAATTGAACTGTCACATGAGGCTTAGAAAAATGTGGGGTTAGGGGAAGGTATGGAAAGAGACAAGAAAACAAAAGGTGATTACAAACACAAAAGGAATCATGGTTCTTCTCTGTGTGTGCATCTTGCACATCTTTGGCAAAGTTTCTTTGTGATGATGGGAGCTTCCACATAAACTCATAATTGCCCGGACGTGATCAAAGGCCAATACATTTTTAAACGCTATGTACAAATTACATGTAT